ATATATATATATATATATATATATATATATATTTATTTATCAAACACTAAACATTGATTCAAGTTTAGATAATTTTGAGATATCAATCAACCTTTATTTATACAGGTAAATCTATATGTATATATCTATATAAGATATGGTTTTAAAGTTTGTTCTACAAAGTTGTGTTTATACATGTTTATACTTTATGCATTTAAGTACATATTTTACATCATTTAGTTTCTTTTATTTTGAAATAAACATGAAGTATATAAAAAAAAACATGCATGAAGCACATATTAGGCAAAAACAAACGAACAAAGAAGACATGGTAAAAATGGTAAAAACATTCTTTTAATTTTTCATACAATTCTCATCAGTTTGTTGTCACTTAAACAAAGGAAACGATCTTTTACATATACAGGTCATGTGTGTTCGTACATAACACAGTTATATAAATACACACGGCTTTAATTCAGACGCACAATTTATAATCATCAGAGTTGTTTAACACGAGACTATAAAGGCATATATGAACATTTACAGGATTCAACAGTACGTTTTATCTGAGACCTTCAGTGTGTGTGTGTGTGTGTGGGTGTGTGTGTGTGCGTTATTGTCCATGTCTCATCTTGGGCCGAGCTTCAGTGGATTCTTGTGGGATGAGAGGTTCTTCTTGCCGTTGTGGTGCTTCCCTTTCTGGTTTTGTTTTGGAGCTTTTTTTAGGTAAAAATGAAGCTGCCGGAGACCAAAACACATGGAAAGGTGTGTGAGTATTACACACACATGTCCATTCATCTTAAGCTCTCTAAAAGGCAACTATTATGCAGGGAGACAAACCTGTATGGCCTCAGCTGGTCCCACTGTCACAGTGTTGACTGAGGGTAGGTATCCCGGAGCAGAGGCCTTTACCGTGTACGTGCCGGGTAGAAGCAGTCTGAAATAGTCTCCATCCACCCCTGAAGCCACAAAACACAACTAATTTTATTCAAAACTCATTGCACTCAGTCCCTATTTGGTGCAAAACTTTGCAACGGAAGTGCATGTTACTGGAACTAAGACAATATCTGAGTTTTTTTTAAGGCCTACATAAAGCCTGAAAAACAATTAAGATTATTATGATGTACTGCAAGAATCTGGTTGGAATAAGAATAGGAAGAAATTAGGGCTGAGTCAGCACTTTTGCACAGTCTTGTGAAGCTTTCGTCACAATTTTATCCTGCAATTTAAATTTTGACCAGCAGAGGGAGACAGACGCCTGTAGGGAGCTGAGCTATAAAAATAATTATAATTTCTATTTAAATACAGCAAAATGTCTCAATTTCTCATACAACCTTTTTAAACTGTATTGGTTATCAAAATGTGCACTATTTCAGTGCCTATTCGTGCATTAAGTAGAAGCTTTCTGCATTTGTTAAACTACAACTCCAGTGTAGTGATTTCCTCCAGGAAATCAGTCTATTTACAGCAAACATGTTTGTTTTATTATTTTTCATTAAATAACACCAAAATATATTTGTGTATCGGGAAACCTCCCACCGTCTTACCGCTCGTCACATCATGGTTGATCCCAGCCACAGAGATCTCAGCTTTGCTGATGGGGTTGTTGTTCTCATCGTACACCATGCCTTTTATCCCATGATGCACCTGAGAGGGGACGGAGGTGTTTATAAGTGTTTAAGTTATTATTAGGTTTTATTATAAAAGAGATAGTTGTGCAAATGAAAGTGTCAGAGTGAGAAGTGGTGTTTATCACAAACATCAAGAAGTGCTTGGTCATACATTTCACAGTCAGCATTTTAAAGCATTAAACCTTAACGTTTTACAGACTGCAGGCTTCTTTCAGTTTAGTTTGTTTGGTCAACTCTGAGGCAAAAATGGATGTAGTTCAAAACACATTTTTCTAATGGTTAAGGGCATTTTTGCTAACTTTTTAAAGGTATAGAACAATAAAAGCACATTTTATCTTTCAACATGAACATCTTTTCATGCCTAGTTGTAAGCAAAATACATTTTTAACAACACAAAAATTACAGGAAGCTTAATTATCGCCATTTTGTTGATTAAGAAAGTGACGTTTCAAAACCTATTTGTTCCAAATGTGTGATCTGACCTGTTCCAGGTATGAAACCAGGGCTTCTCGGTTGCCGAACCATTCCCTGGGCAGAGCGGATTCTGCAGGAAACTTGTCACAGCTCAGCTCCAGAGTGATCTCAAAGCAGTTTGTGTACAGGTAGTTGAAGTCCTGCATGCCTGAAACGCACACGGACACATGGAACCGACAGTGAAAGCATGCATGCGCTTATTCACTTTGGATTTCAGCAGAAAAGTCTTTGCAACAAAAAGAAAGGAATAAATCAACACTGGCTTGTGTTTCGAGGACCAAAGCTTTTGAAGCATTTCAAATTATTTATTGTATAGAAGCTTTCAGATGAAATCTTATCGCCCTGTTTACATTAGTAATGCAGCTTTACAAGAAGGTCCCACTTTTCATGAATAACTTGAGCGAATGAGGGCGATATTTAGAGGCAAACCTCAAATCTTACCTCATACCCCATGACACAACGCTTGGAGCAAAATGACTCGTTAAAGCAAATATAACGTGCTCCCGCTAAATGAGTCTGGGGCTGCTTTTATTTAATTCAAAGGCTTGCATGGCTCGACTAAAAAGCTGCAGCTTCTCATAAAATGAGTAAATAAATAAATAATTAAAACCAGCCCAGGCCTTGACGTGCTCATCAAAGAAATGGGTATTGTTCAAGCTGCAGATTCTTCAAGTGAAAGTGAACACTTTGCACGCCCGAACATTTTCTCAAACTTTGGAAGTTTTTGTAGAATTCTATAGCAAAACTGCTTGTGTTCATCAAAACATCTACGTCTTCACATGAAGTTCTATTCAAAGAGAATTCAGTGAGAAGTTCAACGTTCAGAGCCTGAGATTTTGACCCCAGTAATGCCAACAATTAGATGTATAAACTAGGGATGCACGGTATTATTGGCATGGTATCGGTATCGGCCGATATTAGTGGTAAAGTTAAATATCGGACATCAGCCTTTCCATCAAAATAACTCAACAATATAAAAGGTGCCATATTTTGTTATGTGTGTGTGTGTGTGTATTAATGCTGTTCACGTTAACTCGTTATTATTGCGTTAATGCAGCAAATGAATAATGCCGACAATTATTTTAACGCATGTTAATGGGTTTCTTTTTCAAAAACAGATCCTGTCTAACTTTGAATGGGAAACAACTTGTAACTGCATCTTTCCTTCCCTCCATTGATTACGGTGACATTATTTACATGAACGCTCCTACAAGAACCCTGCAGATGTTGGATGCTGTCTATCATGGTGCACTAAGATTCATAACTGGCTGTGATTATCGTACCCACCACTGCACCCTGTATTCACTGGTTAACTGGACATCATTAACTTCACGCAGACTCTCCCGCTGGTATATTTTCATTTTTAAATCACTTCTTGGTCTGCTGCCTTCATACATCTACTACATGTCTCTGTGTGAGTGCAGCTACAGCGTGCACTCTCAGGATGTTATTACCTGCAGTGTTCCATCAATGCGGACTGAACTTGGCAAAAGGGCCTTCTCTTACTCTGCTCCTGTTTCCTGGAATATCTTGCAAAAAGATCTGAAGCTCTCGACCTTGACATCTCTAAGTGGCTTTAAAAATCTGTTGGACTCAAGGACCAATGCTGACATGTTCCTGTTTTTAGTTTTCTACACTTGCCTTATAATCTAGTTGTTTTTGCTATTTGTTGCCATCTTATTTTAATTTGTAT